TGTTGAAGTTTGAGGAGGTAGTGCCAAGGAAAAGTGATCGACTCGCTGATATGATCGACTCGCTGATAAACCACGTTAATACTATTACTAATAGTGAAATAAAGTAAGTGTTATATCTTACCTAGGGTTCTTTTATTTAAGTTACTTTTTAAGTTAAAAGCTTCTATATAGACTGAAAAGAAAGCTATTAGTTAGTTCTATAAAAGTAGATAAAATTACATAAATATAACTACGGCGTATTAATTTATATAGATACGAAAAGAAAAAGACCCTTCGAGAGTATAAAGTATATATTTTATAGGACGTATGTATTGCACCCTACGAAAATTAAGTCTACTACCTAGGTGCTAGAATCGAATAAACTTATCTACATCGTACGTAAATCGTATTTAAAAGTTAAACTATTTTAGTATAGGACAGTAGTTAATTACGTCTACAAGTAGAAGTGGCGTTATATAAGTAAATAAGCTATATACGTATGCCCACACGCGACACTTGCTTCTACGCTACACTTGCTTCACCTGACCACAAGCGACAGCGCCGTGGGAAGACGCACTGACTATTAGTACTCTGATTGTTTTGCGAGCAAAAAGTGTAACGAATACTCAAACTGGCTAACTAAACTTGGCTGGGTGTTCGCTGGTTGGTATGCTATGATAAGAAGAAGACTATCGGGTTGTTCACTTGGAAGTGAACTCGTTACTTGTATCAAAGATGTCAAACTAATATGATAAGATTGATAACTAAGTTGAGCCCGAAGCTCCTATGTAATGGCAGACGTGCCAGTGTTATATAGAACCTTCGTTCTCTGAAGTCGCCATGGTCGACCTGGTCGACCATGTCTCTCGTCACGTGATCCATAGTCCAAGGAAATCCTTGGATCGCTTAGCTAACCTAAACGATCCCCATTTGCTATAAGTCTATGGACGGTGCTTGACCTGTCAGGACGCCGCCTGGTCTTCACTAGTCATTTGTGCACGTGATTCGTGACACGCCACTGGCTTTAGATAAGCGTGATTTTAATTTCACGGCGGCTTTGATGATGGAGCATTACTAGAGAACTTGTACTATTATTGGGCTGTAGACAACAACTTTGTGGATGGTCGGGATTGAAATGTATTAATTGCTGCTAAGTACTGTAGGAGATTCTACGCTCTAGTCAATAAGTCAAACTTTAAGACGATTTGATAGTGGGTTTCTCTCCTTCTCCAACCTTTCTCCACATGCACTATTGTATTCAAGCTGCGATTTTTAATCAGTATAAAAGATTTAAAAGTTCTAAACATTTTGCTCTTAACAGAAATACAACGCTTACTTGGCATTCAACAGCTTCATTATATATAGATAATGTATGAAGGTATGATACACCAGCCTATATTAGATATAACTTCTGTTAAAGTTCTTACCTAGTATCCTTAGGAAAGTCTTTTAAGAAGTTATAGTAGACGTGTAATCTATAGTTGTTTAATTCCGCTAAAAAGAACTAAAATATAGCTAGGTTATGTTGAGGGAACTTACAAACTGTAACAAGCCCTGGCACAAGAGCGGCAAAGAATGTTCAAGACTCAAAATATTGCTTAAAAAGGATTAGCAGAAAATATAAATACTTTAATTAGATTTAAAATTCCCTCCTAATAACAAAACAAGCAAGTCTAAATAAGGATTCTTGTGTTAACGAACAATATAATCAGTAATCCTAAATGGAACCTTTGGCAGCTTAATATATCTCTAATCTGAGTAGATAATCCCAGTTGCTATACAGAGTTGTTTCACATTACGAAATGTCACTGTGGATATCAAACTCTGTCAAGAAGTCAATAATGACTTGTCTGGACGACGTCCTCTATTACCGAGATAACAGAAACAATGGATTTGAATGAGCAAAAGGGTATATAGATCTGTTTCTTATTATTCAAAAAACGTTCGATGGGTATAAATATGGACTTCCACCCGAAGAATGCACCAACCACACCTCGCAGTACTACTCTATGCCTGCAACCCTACAACCAATCAGGAAACAAATCTCAAATCCTCCAAGTCCTCTATCAACCTAGACGTCTCGGACCTTCTTTAATCAACACATCCATGAACGCCGTCTTCTCCTTGTCTGAAATATCTTCTGTTTCCGCCATCTTCTCATTATCATCAACATCAACATCGATGTTTTGGGTATCACGACACTTCCCGAGCATATCTTTCAGCGACTCCACCTCATCTATCAATCCTTTATGCATGATTCTCAATTCCGCATTCTGCTCACTCCTCAATCTCATATCATCGTGTAGTTGTTGAACTACATCTTTCCTCTTCGATCGACATTTCATGGCCGCTACCCGATTGCGCTCCAGAAATGATTCACGTTTTTGTTTCATTTGAGATTCGCTGAGAGCTCTTCGCGCGCGGGGTTTCCCATACTTTTTGAGCGCGCCTTTCGCTTTCTTTGGTGTACTTGGGAGCGCCGAATCGCCGGGAAATTCGACTGGCAAAGATCGTTTCTTGTTGGCTTCTGTGGGAGACTTAGAAACTTGTTGCGTCGCTTCTGGGGAAAATTGGGATTGGTGTTCGAAGCCTGTTCCTTCTAATGGATGAGGAAACATGGTTTCAAAATCCAGCGAAGTATCTGGTATAGCTGGCCCGACTGGTGAAACAAGTGGTAGCGAGAAAGGCATGCCAAAGTCAAAATCGTTCTGAGGATACAAAGGTAGGGGTATTTCAGTTTGCGTCTCTAGTTTTGTAACATAGGAAGTAGCATTATCGATCGTGGATCTAGTGTAAGTCAGCATACATCCAAAACAGTAGAAATAAATATTAGCAACGTACATGATCTGATCTTGGGTGAGGGCTTTCGATTCTTTGGGTACTCTGGCAGACTCTCTAGCATGACTAAATCTTCTTTCAATCTCCTGTTGAAATAGCGAGTAGTCCTGCGCTGGAGCCGCCTCTACATTCCCCGTTGATTTTTCAGATCTATTCTTGGTTTCGCTTGTAGGCGGACTTTGCTGCTGTATTAGATCAAGTGGTGCTTCAAGGTTATTGCTGTGCAAGTTCTTCTCGGTATCTTCTCCAAAGTCCAGAAGCGAAGTGAGGAACGCGGTTCCTGGGGTAGGGAGAGAATCCATTTTGCTTCTTCGTGTAATTGCGATAACCTGGCCAGGACTCGAATAAGAATCGAAAATCAAATCGTCCTGGCCGTTGCGTTTTCTGTCTTGTGGTTTCTGTTCCGTTTTTTTCTTGTTTGTTTCTTAAGGTCACTCGATCGCAGACCGATATTCAGCGAAGGCCAACACACAACGATGCCGTCGGATAACACAGCCAAGCAGGGTTAGGAGCTCAATGTCCGGTAATGATAGACAATGGAACGCTCTAGCCAGCAGAGCCTGCTTTGTGAGGTCACCATGCATCAGACCCACTGTAAATTCCAAATCAGCCATCCACTGAGAAACCCAGGACCCACCTATTCCAGAATTGTGGAAATGAGAGTCCTCCTTCTCAATGGATCAATCTGTACTCAGGGTCCAAGGGTCTCTTTACGAAACGCTTATGATCCCCGGGATCGTGATCGCCACTCAAAATGGGATTTGTATTTTTCCCATACTTGAGGGGTGCTGGAATCGGTGACTCATAAGTTCTTTGGTGTCTCTCGTAGGTGCCAAAAAGAAGTTTTAATATTTCAATTCTAGAAGCGTTCAATCAATACAAAACCATTGATTCAGAGACAAAGCGCCTAGTGACCAACCCTTACGTCGTTTGCTGATTGTCAATATTCAAGATTGCTCTCTTTTGGAATTTCCAGGGGCTTTTTGTCACGAATCACGTGTTAACACGTGAAGAGTGAAGACCAGGCGGCGCCCTGACAGGTCAAGCACATCCGTAGACTTATAGCAAATAGGGATCAGCTAGGCTAGCTAAGCGATCCAGGGATTTCCTTTGGTTATAATCACGTGACAGTTGGGTCGCCTGGAGCGACGAGCGCTCCAGTCGCCTGGGTCGACTCGGTAGACGAGCGACTCCAGCGATCCAACTGTTGGAACAAAGAACGGAGGTTCTATATAACACTGGCACGTCTGCCATTACATAGGAGCTTCGGGCTCAACTTAGTTATCAATCTTATCATATTAGTTTGACATCTTTGATACAAGTAACGAGTTCACTTCCAAGTGAACAACCCGATAGCCTTCTTCTTATCATAGCATACCAACCAGCGAACACCCAGCCAAGTTTAGTTAGCCAGTTTGAGTATTCGTTACATGGCGGACTAGAACTGTTTACTTCACTACTCAACTTGACTAGGGTTGTTCAACTATGTCTAATTTAAATAAACTAAGTTGACTTAAGTTATCTATAATTACTAATTAGGCCGATTATCTAATAATAAATTATCTATAAATTATATACATCATATAACCTCGGGGCGGAAAATCTAAATAGCCTATCTATAAATTATAGTTTTAATCTAATTTAGTACCTTCTAAGTACGCTTTTAGTTATATAAGATTAATTATAAGTACTTTACGTAACTACCTTAAGGTAGAATAGGTTTATAAACTAATACTTATTTATATAAGCTAGCGTGTATTAGATAATAACTTAGTATTCCTCAACTTCTTTAAGGTGTGACAGACGTGCTTCAGGTAGAACTCAGAACAATTAACACTCTATTCTTAGGACAAAAGACGAGGAAAGAAGGAGAGCTCAAGAGAGCTGGGAACTAAATACAGGTCGTGCGCGCTAGCGCCTCGCTAAGCGAGCATGTGACATCCAGCCCTCGTGACCATAACCGTCACA